TTTAGGGTTTAAGGTTTTGGGTCTGAAGGGGTGCAGGGATTTAAGGGTGGTTTACGGTTCTAACTGGCATTTTTGAGAGGTTTCGGGGCTTTCAGGCTTGTGGGTTTTGGGGTCGGGCTTTGGGCATTTGGGGATGTGGGGCAAAAAACGGTCCAGACGTTGGGATGCAGGACTTCGGGAATCTCCAGCGCGAAGCTTCGGGTTCTTAATAAGAATTGAGTCTGAGACTTGGAAAGTGAGACCTNNAGGCCTGTGCCCTAAATTCGAAAAGCAACACCTTCTTCCTGAGCCCACGGGTTTTCGGATCGGGGGCAGGGTGACTTTATCTCTGCAGTTTGAAGCGCAGGGCTTAGGGTGCTAGGTTTAGGTCTTCCAAAAATCCGACCCTACACTGGATCTGAGGCGTCAAGAAGAGCCCTGAAGCCTCCAGCTGGCCCCCTAGACGAGTGATTGCCTTGCGCGCCAATGGCAGCCTGCAGGTGTTCGCTCGCCGGCGCGAAGTGGAGCTGAAGCACGGAAGGATCTCCGTGGATGGTGAAGTTTTGTGCATGGCTTTGTAGGAAACTTGCGGGTGTTTTTGAAGAGTTTACACTTTGATGTCAGGGCGGGGCAACTTGGGACCGTACCATGTGCTGTTGTTTTGACCTCTGGCAATCAAGCGCATTCTTTTCTGACCCGTGTATTGCGTTGATCCGATGGACTGTGCGGGTTCAACCTGCATTGAAACCAAGCTCCTGGAACCTTAAACTTATGCCATGGTCCCAAACCCCCAGCCCTTCAAGAGACCCTGACTTACAAAGCCCTGGACCCTAAACCCGAAACCCAGAACCCTAAACCCAGAACCCTAAACCAAACCGCAAAGCCCCCCTAGCGCAGGATCTCCATGTTTGCCACGATTGGCTACATTGTGCCGGAGTACTTCCGCTGGCCGGGTGAGCTCTCCCCGAAGCTGGCAGGAGGTCGGAAATATTTTCTTCTTCTCCGAACAGGTTTTTGGTTTTTGTGGTTGTTGTTGTTCCCGCTGTCATCGAGGGTTTTCATTTGTTGCCTGCCAGTGATATCACGAATTTCATGACCATGCCAGGCATCTCTATTCTTGTTAGATTAGTGTTATCGCAACGACTCTGGCAGCGGCCAGATGGAACCTGCTCCCGTATACTCGAGCGTTGAGCTACGCCGAGACTAATCGTATGCGTGGCATTGGTCCCGGTTGAATTGATCTGCTGCTGTTGTGCATTTGCCTTTTGGAATGCCTTTTAGCACGATTGGGACACTACGTCCACTTCTTCTTGCCTTACCTGCTGTACCTGTACGTTTTCTTCGGAGTAGGAAAGGAGCTCGAGATGGGACCGTGTCAAACGAGATTGCAGCAAGTACACTGCTGCTAGCAACAAAGAAGGAATCCAATGATCGCCGCAAGACTTTGTTGATCGTGGCAAGACTTGTCTCGCCACTCCCAACACACACATACGCGAGAAAGCCGCAAAAGCTAATAGCCAACCCCCCAAAAGATTCTGGTCACTACCAACCAAAACCCTAAACCCTAGACCCTAAACCCTAAACCCTAAACCCTAAACCCTAAACCCTAAACCCTAAACCCTAAACCCTAAACCACCAACTCGAAGTTACAAACCCCGAACACGTCGAGTCGAAAAGCCCCCCGTGACGCAAAGCAAAGGAATTAGGGTTTAGGGTTTAGGGTTTAGGGTTTAGGGTACGCAAAGCAAAGGAAGTTGGGCTTGAAGTTCACCGACATTCCCAATGGCCTTGCGGCCCTCACCAAGGCTAGAGCTCTCGAAGGTGGTCTTCTGGAATCTGATTCAGTAAGATGGGGCTTTACTAGGTCATATATGAGGCGCCAGGGCTCCGGGCGGGCTCCGCCTTCAACGATTGGGAGCTGAGCTGCTAAGCTTCGCCAGGGTTGTTGGCTTTTGGATGCTTTGCAGTCACAGGATTCGTCTTAAGCCCGAGGGCTTTTACTGGGTACCGTGCTGGTGGTGGGATGCCGCACTTGACTCATACATTCAGAATGCCCCAGAGTGCTGGTGAACCAAGTGAAACTCTTGAGATGAGGGGTGAGGAGGTTTTCCAGGGAGAAGTGTCTATCTTCCCCGGTTTTCCCTGAGACGGTCCGCATCGAATTCAGCAGGTGCCCGGTCAGGGCTGGGGGCAGATTGTGGCATTCCTGGGCACCTACGAGCTCTTCATTAACAAGCCAGCCGCTAGGCAAGTCTTTAGACCCTTCAAGCTTTCAAGGGTTCTAAAGTTTGGGGCTGTAGTGGCTGCAGCTGTAAGCTCTGGGGTTGACAGGCGGCCGTAGCAGACCTAGCAGCACCGGTCGCAGCCACAAAGACTCTCTGTGTTGCCCTCGCGAAGAGGGCACATGACGATGGGCTCCCAAGCCTTTATCTTCGGAGATCTTCGGCAGAAATAGGTTTGGCTTCCGCGCACGAACTCGAGTAACGCGAGGCAAGGAAGGTTTAGGGCTTAGGGTTTAGAGATGCCGGTTTTGGAATTGGCCACAATGACCATATCCTGTGTCCAGCAGTTCCAGCACAACGATGCATGGCGTCGTTCGACGCCAGGCATGCCAACTTGCACCGGCCAGATGCATAAAAGATCTTTGGGTTAACAACGAGGCTAGGAAGGTGCCACAACTATTGTAAGATATTTCTCACCTTTTTGACATCACATGCGAACCGACAGAGATGTATGCCGGATGGGAGTGGAACTACCGCAAAGCCGTACACCCCAAACCTCAAATCCCAAACCCTGGCCCAAAGCTGCAAAGACGCTCAAGAACTAAACCCCTTACAGCCTTTACGCCCCGACATTAACAGCCGCGAAATCAACGCTGAAACACCTAATCGCCCCCAAAACCCCAAGACCTCAGCTCCGAAATCCTAAAACCCTAAACCCTAAACCCTCCTAGGACAACACACCTTGGGAGCTGAAGGGTTGAGGACCCTAGGACCCCAAAGCCAAACCCTCAAACTTGAGGCCCCCAATCCCGCAAACTTTCAGGCCCCAAGGTCCCAAAATTTAGGCCCGAAGGTCTCAAACTTTTTTTGCAAGCTTTAGGCACGCACTTTAGGCCCTTACCCTAAACCCTAAACCCTAAACCCTAAACCCTAAACCCTAAACCCTAAACCCTAAACCCTAAACCCTAAACCCTAAACCCTAAACCCTAGGCCCTTAGGGCCTTAGGGCCTTAGGGCCTCCGCGGCTGAGGTGGGCGGAGAGCCGGGGAACTACGGCAAGGGCAACTTGGGCCTCGGCTTCCTTGGCCCTGTCGCCGATCCCGAGGCTCGGATCTCCGGGGTGAGCGATTTTGGGGCCTTAAGAATTTAGGGTTTAGGGTTTAGGATTTAGGGTTTAGGGGTTGAGAGTTTGGGGTTTAGAGTTTGGGGTTTAATATTGGGTAGTTCTCTAAATTAGGATCCCTTTTTGGGTCCCCAATATAGTACGGCACCCTTATAATTAAAAAGGATGCTAAAAAGGGACCCTGTTTTAGATAACTACCCCTGTAGGGGCCTTAAGAGTTACCTATTAATATTTTTGGGGGGTTCCTTCTTATAATTATAGTATAATGATANNAACTAATTATTAAGGTCCCTACAGTACGTCTTGAATTTCGATGCTTCTTCTTCTTGTTTTTTGTTGCTGCTATTATTGTTATTCTTCTTATTGTTGTTAATGGTTGTGCTTCAGGTTGGTTTTGGGGGAAGGGGGAGGATTGAATTGCTATTTCTCTCTTTTTTTAACAGTGTGCTGTTGTTTCTTAGGGGGAGGGGGGGTTGGAGGGCTTCTAGTTTTTCCATGGAGTTGGGTGGTTTTCATGGGTCGCAGGTTGCTCTTTGGGATAAAGGGTGCGGCTTCGTACTTTCGTGCGAAGAGTTCAGGGTTTACGATTTCCCAAAGCCTTGCGCGGCAATGCTTCTGTGGGCCGCAGAACCCGCAGTGCTACATACCTCAGTTACCACGAACAGCATGAATTGGGCTGAGAGCTGTTGAATACTATAATATACTTCACCATACTATACTACACGAGAGCTCGCGACTGTCTTGCCAGGCTTCTGTGTCCGTGAACCATGCGACGAACTGAACCCACTTGATTCCTGCACCCCAAGATTTCACCCCAACCTTACTACTCAAAACCAGGACCCCCTAAACCGTAAATGCAGTTCAGCTTACCAGACTTCGAGCAGCCTGCAACGCGGCCTCGTCCTTGCTGAAAGCTTAAAACCTGCCCGACAAGTCTGCGAGGCACGAAAGAAAAAGCTTTCTGCGGAGCTGGCCAATGGCAGGCTTGCGATGATGGCCATCATCGGCATGCCGCTTGCCTGCAAGGGGGTCGAGGACGTTTTTGGGTTCGGGGGTTTAGGATTCACAGCTTTCGAATGCTACTGAAGGATGTCCAGGGTCCGTGACCAAGCATGAACCGCCGACTCCAAAGCAGTGCAGCACCCCCAGTCATGCAATTGTTTGAGCTGCTCTTAAGGAAGCAGGGTGAGCATGTTGACACGGACATGGCAGCTTTCGGAGTTGTTTTTATGTCTGCAGGTGCTTCGGCATGCATAATACAAATCGTTGAATGAATAAGCAAACAGTCAAACAGGGTGCCTGCCTACGTACATACATACATACAT